GAGCTCGGTTTCGATCGGTTCGATTCTGGACTAGTAGTCGCCGGGAGGGGAATAGGTCCTGGACTCGTCGAGGGGGGGGGGGGGGAATCAGGTCGGACTCGTGGGAGGGGAGGGGGAATTTCGTTAGGTCAGCGGGTGGGGAGGGGGAATTAGGTCGGGACTCGGGGGGAAGTAGTGAAGTGCCGGGGCGATCGGGCGGAGGGCCCATGGGTGATTTGAAACAAAGAAAAGGTTTGATTTCGGGAACGACGCGTTGCCAGTGCGATTGGCGCGATTTTCCCAACCGACCGTTGCACACTCCTAGTTGAGAGGGCCAAAGAGAAAGAGAAATAAAGGGTACAAATTTTTAAAACTAATACATTAAACTTAACAAACAATTAAAAGATTCATAATAGATAATAATTTTATATAATAAGTAAATCAAAAAGAATAAAAAGAAAATATTTATAATAATCTTTTAAGAAAAGTTATACTCGATGATATTTCTTAAATTTTTATTCGTCAATTATTAACTCAATACTATTCTCAAAAAAAAAAATTCTATACAGAAAAGATTAACAATGTATTTTCAATCAAATTATCAATAAAGAAACTTATTATTTATTTTGTTCTGAAGTCTTACTTTTATAATTTTCATTGTTAAAAAGATTCTCTCTATAATTGCGATGGAAACCGGAAGAGTCAAAACAAGACAAATTAATCTACCATTTAGGATTAATAAAAAAAAATACATTGAAGAAATTTTAAGTAATGCAACATTATAACTTATATTTGATAATTATATAATAATTTTTTAATTTGTAAAATTAAAATCATAAAAAATAAAATTCGCATAACAAAAAAATCATGACAAGTAAAAGATGGAATCTACATAACAAAAAAGAAAATAAAACATGATTAATTTGTAAAAACTTAGAAAAGAAAATCTATAGAAATTAAAAGAAAAAATATATAAAAAAATAAAAAAATTTTAAAAATTTTGAGGGGGTCACGACCCCTATATTCCTATTAAGCTCTACCTCTAGTAATAGGGAAACTAATTAATTAAGTTTTTTTTTAATTAGGTGAAGAGATATAAATTTTACTCTTTAAATAAAGGATCATACTTCAATCAATGAATTAAATGTTCGGATGTAACTAACTAATTAAGTTTGAAGGCATTGCTTTCTAATGTTGTAAAATATATTGGAGAACTATATACTTGCATATTGTTTTTCAATTTAGCATAAAACTAAAAAAAAAGGATTTTCAATTGTTTGTATCAGATTGGCCCTCCCTAGTTGTGATCATTACCAATTGGTTATGGCCTATGTTTTCATTGGGTAATAGAAGATGGTTTTTCTTTTATTTTTATTCCAATTAAGTCTTAGTAACATCCAGTTCATGATAATCACTGCTTTTGAAATCACTGAAATAATTGATATTTAACAAAAATTATATATAAGGCCACCTCAATATACATTGTTCTTAGTGCCAAGAAAGTTTGCCATAATTCTAATAGATAGTTGGGCAAAAAGTTCAGCACAGAATGTTGCAATTGGATATGGTCCTGATCCTCCTTTGATGTTGGTTCTTTCTTTTGTGTGTGCAAAGTTTGGGAGAGACAGTGGGCTCAACAAGTAGCATAATGAGAACCTTTGTTTCCCAATGCCTTTTCAGCAGAATTGCATATATTGCCACTTGAATTTGGTCTCTTCCCTTGAAAAAAATTTCAAACAATTATTGAAGGTCACAGTCCAAAGCCAAACAGGTTCTCTAAATATATTAAGAACTCTAATGAAAAGTGTATCCTTAATCTGACCAAGCTCTTTACATTAAAGCATAAATATATTCTGAAGATAATCAGGAATTCAGGATGAAAGACTTTTTTTGATCCCTTTTTTGAATAAAATTCCAGAGCCAGATAAGTTCTGGCCCCATGCCAAGATACATTGCAATTTTAGGATAGATAGCCTCAATGAAAGGTCACTCCTGCTAAATTGACTAATCAATATTTCATCCAAATAAAATGGTCCTAAAACTCAAATTAATTTGGCAAAATGTGGGTTCCAATGTTTTGTTTGATTTCCCTTTTGGAAATTGAAATGAACCCTAACCCAAAATCCGGTGAATCCAAGGGCAAGCATGGGGGAAGACTGATTTAATTACATTATCATTTAACGTAGAAATGAAATACCCTGCCCTGGGCTAATTATGCAAGCTAGCCACATAAAATACCAACGGTCTACTAGTTATAAGACCATTTCTGACTTGTTGCAGCCCTATTAACATTGAATAATTTATCATCCCCATAGACTTTTATTTCTTCACAAATAAGCCTAACGTCAAGTTATTGCAAACAATTAGAAGCCTGCTGGGAGGATTTGTGACATCTCCTGACCTTTTTTCACAAAAATCAAATTATCACCTTATCTTATATTCAAAGAAACAAAGTTTGTGTTCAAGATGATGATGGATTGCTAATTCCGCAAGCTTGCACAAGGCATGGTTCCTTAATCTTCATTAAATTAAGTAACTTCAGTTTAATTTAATAACCATAATATTGTACTTAACACGTGCTTGTTAAGCCGGTATGATTAGCAATTTAATTTGCTTAAATAATTTTGGGCTGACAAACATATAGATGAGCATCCTTCGAAAAATGGGATTAAAGCAGATCACCGGTAGATCCAATGGCATTTGTGTGTGTTTTTAATTTAATACATAGCAAAGCAAGCTCCAAATTTCTCAACTATGGGTATAATTTTATTGATATAAGTCAGAAGAATTAAGACTTTAGGGGGGGAATCACTTAATTTAATACTTGACCTAAGAGTAAGGCCTGCACTGGCATTTTCGATACATTAATGTAGAGCAAAAGTAGATATTATATGTTATGGGATTCACCAACAACATTCAATTTAATTTGGTCCACTCAGAATTTTGATCAAATGATCAACATATATAAATGTCATTCTAGCAAAAAATTCAGAATAATTGATATGTTTGAATCTCAATGTCTATTAATATTAAGAAGCAAACTAGCAAAGTACTCATAAATTGAAATTATGAATTTCTTCCATCAAAAAAAAGGAAAAAAATGTATAAGATAGTTAGCACTTGGGGTAACCATAATTTAACTCAATAAAATTGATTATGAGCACATATTTCACAAGGAAAACAAAGGTTCACAACTCACAAGCACCTCCTAAAGGAGATTGAGTCAGAAATGTGAAAGAAGTCAATGAGTCAAGAATAGCTTGGTAGAAACAAACTATGTTAAAAGTTTAAAGCATCCTACTAGGTACTAACCCAACAACTTAGAGTGTTGATGGGTAGTATTTAAGATTGCCTATGATCATAACTAAGCTAAAAAGGGTGACTAATCATGTGGCAGAGGAAACTCTCCCAAGTGGGTCAATCTAACATTCCATAATCATCAAAAGAATGAAAAGAGAAAAGAGAAAAACAAAACGAGGCATGAGAAAAAATAATCAAGTTTATGGACTTTTGGAAGGAAGTGGAAATGGAAGAGTAGCTTTGGCAAAGCAACAACACATCCCTAATTTTGAGGCCATATCACGTGGGGATGGGAATCCAAATTTTTGCCTCCACTCAGACACCTAACCAAACCAAAAAACCCTAATATTAAATATTACGAACAAAACTTTATCGTAATAATATAATTTTGAATAAAGTAAGGTTTTGTTATTTTAATTATCATGTAAGACCTAAGCTTTCCCCTTAAACTACTGCTTTTGGACCATAAGGAGCCAAACGGCGCTGCTGCCTCTCTGCCCCCCCTATTTTAAGGGTCGTGGCCTTGGGAGTTTCCCTACTGGAATCTATACACGTTTTGTTTCTGTCACAATCTCACAAGTTTATTCAAAACAAACCCTATTCACTCACACCCCACCTTCTGCCTTTTAATAAAGGAGGTAATGCAACCTACATATAAATATTCTTAGGAGGGAAACACTTTTGAGGAGGGCAACCTCACAAGTTTAGTCCTATTATCTAAACCTAATACCATTAATACAAGTATATATCAAGTTTTAAAATTGTCTCTAAAGAAAGATCACTGCACTTAGAATTAGAGATTTCATTTTAAAAGTGCCGAGCTCGAATATGAAAGCAAAACGATTATATCTTATTGTATAATTCAAAAATCATATGTAAAAAAAAAAGTATATTATTATAGTCAAAATTTTATAATTTAGGGTTTGAATATTGATCCGAGAGGAATCTTCATAATTCAATCCCAGGGTCAGTTTTTGAGAGCTCAAGGTATATCGTTTCGTTTGTCTGATCTTTTTCTTCATATCTATTGCGTGTACATAGCATAAATACATAATTTATGAGAACATGAAGGTGAAAGTGACCTAAGGGGGTGACAAGAATGACAAATTAATGAATTGTCATGTGCAAATAGACATGGCTCTTTCACTAGAATAAGAAAACAAAGAGAAAAGCTTAGTAAGCTCTTTTGACTCTCATCTTGGTTAAGGACAATATGCATTTCATTTTTTAATATGCCTGTAAATGGTGGAGTTTAGTGACTAGTTGTTTTTGTTTTAACAGCTCCTAGGCCCATCCTGTCTGGACTCTACCAATTAATATAATTTAAATTATAATTAAACAATGACTGGTCAATGTGATTTGAAATCTATCTCATTTTTCAAATATATTACTTGTGCAAGAACCAAAAAAAAAATAGATTAATCTTTGGGCCCATGCTATGAGCGACTAAGGCGCTACTCTATATAATATGAATTTGATAATTTCTATCTCTATTTCCAATTTTTGCATAGCCTATCAATCTCCAATACATGGGATTGAAGCCCAATTTGAAATTATAATGGGCGTCGCATTTGTCTTAACTTACCCAATTTGAAGTGGGCCTTTAGTCCCCCAGACCAGAGCAAGTCCAACTTGTTTTTGGGACGTTGAAGCCCATCTTGACCAGTCGTCATATTAGGCCCGATTCGGAAGCTCTGTCATGAAGCATTTATGGGATAAAAAAAAAGAGCTTGCCTTTCTTGGATGTCAAGCGTCTGCTCTGCTAGGTGCTAGCTAGTGTAAGGTCTCCGTTCCTATATCCCTGCCTGCGCGAGAAAAAGGGAGGAAAAGGGCAGGAAAATGGAGGCCGCGGGGAGAGCAGTGTTGGTGTCACGGCCAGTGACGTTCGTAACTGGAAATGCCAAGAAGTTGGAGGAAGTCAAGACCATCTTGGGCCAATCGATTCCCTTTCAGTCCCTCAAGCTTGACCGTACTCCCTTCTTCTCCCCCACAAAATTTTCACTCTTTTTTACTTTTCAACTATTTAAATATTCTTTTTTTTATTTCTTTTTTACATTTCAATGCTTTAGTGCCTGAACTGCAAGGCGAACCGGAAGAAATATCCAAAGAAAAGGCTCGTTTGGCTGCTGTCCAGGTTTATATACCCATATTCATATGCTTTATCATTTGTAAAATACCCAGATTTTTTTTTTCTAAAAAACATGAATACTATGTTTAAAAAGTTATATTTCTTTTGGATGGGAAGGTGAATGGACCGGTGTTGGTGGAAGATACATGTCTTTGTTTCAATGCTCTAAAGGGTCTTCCAGGTGTTTGTCATCTTCTATATTTTTATTTGTTGCTTTTGTTTTGGGGGTTTAGTTAATGATTTTTATTGTTAAACTATTTGCAGGGCCATACATGTAAGTTCTAATTCATTCTTGCTAAATTCAAAAGGTGTAAGCTTTATTCTCACTTCAGTTTGATGAATTATAATTGGAGAGAATTGATTAAACTGGACAGAATTGAAATGCATAACAGTTTTATATTTGTGCTGCTGTTGTTTTGATGTTGGAGAACTGAACCTGGCCAATTTATGATTATTCCAAGAAGTATAGTTAGGCCACGTTTCCGCCAGCTTCTGCTACCAACTTTCAAACCATCTATTGATTCCTTTGAGTTATTGTTTTTGAGGGTTTGATTCTAATAAACTCCATTTAAATTCTCAAATGCCCTTTATGCATTATGTGTTATATACTAGCACACGAAAGATCATTGTTTCCACAGTGGAGGTTCATTGTATTAGTATAATCCCTTGCTGAAAGGAGGGAATGGTAACTGCTCCCACTTGTAATAGTCCATCTATTTTAGAAGGATTTTTTGATATCTTCTGTTCCTGTTGTTCCCGTTCCCTCTTCATTTTCTCAAATTTCATGCCTAATCTTTGTTTTGTTATGATATGAACAATATTAATTTAGATGATTTTGCAAATAATATATGTCTCTCATAATCATCATTCTTTTTCAATGTTATGTTCACATTTTTGTCTTATCTAATGTGTTCTGCAGCAAGTGGTTTCTGCAGAAGATTGGCCATGAAGGTTCTATTCGCATCATGCGCTCTTTCATATCCTTTTATTTTGTTTACTTTCATCAAAATTTTAGGCTGCTTCCAATACTTTCCTCTGATCTGTGACTCTTTCTAGGTTTAAACAACTTGTTGATGGCATATGAGGATAAGTCAGCTTACGCATTATGTGCATTTTCTTTTGCTCTTGGACCTGATGTTGAACCTATTACCTTTCTTGGGAAAACTCCGGTATGTTTCCATCAATTGTTATTCTGCTTTCTTCCCTTTACTCTTTTATCTTCTCAACTTTAATTATAGCTAAGGAATGGTGTCAAATATGACCATCACAAAGCACAAAGCAATTTGGTTTTGGACTGTACAAATTTACCTTGTTTAGTGAATAAGACCAAAAATGTTATACTAATCCGAATGTATGATGTTATTTAATTTAAATATGTTTTTGACAAGAATGGAAAAGAAAGAAGACAAGGAGAGAGAAAATGGTGGCTGGGGTGGGGAGAAGGTGTTCCTGAAACTTCAAGGCATGAATAGATATGAGTGACTATGAATTTTCTCATTTCTAATATTAAAGCAATGTATTGTTTTTAATGATCTGAACATAGTGCTGGATTTATGTTAATGGTTTCTTGGTCCATGAAAGCTAAAACCCACATGAGTATCCTGCTCTATCGTCAACCTATTCTTTTCATTGTTATGTTTCTGAGTATAAACTGCGTCTGCATGTCAGTATTTTTCGAAAGGAGATTTTAAGCCTGGACCATGATTTCCTGCCCTAATTTACTGGGCAGTTGATCAGATGTTCAAGTAACTGAATTGTTAGTTCCACGTCTCTTTCCCTCAAAAAAGTTTATCATACACTGAGCCTCATACCTGAAGCCTAGTTCAGCTGCTTGACCACCCATATGGAAGAAATTGAGTTGGGAGGTCATACAAACAATAAAGAAAAATGTGTTATGCATGAAAAGAGCATCGAAGCCACAGAAGGTAATCTAAGATGATAATTTTCATGTAATATGGTCCTATTAATATTTAACTCTAAAATGTGCACAGATCTTGCAAGAAATCATTTATTAAGAACACTTCTGTCTGGGTTGCTTCTGGTGTTCAAATGTTCAGCCTGTTAGACGCAATGACTTTTGTTTAGTATGTGCTATATTTTCCCCAAGAACGAGATGAATTAGAATCTTACACGGTAATACTGTCACCTGCCAGTATTTTTGAAGTTAAGCATTTCCTAGCAGAGAAACATATTTTTTGGGAAACTGAAAGAGAAAAGATTGAACAATGACTAAGAGTGTTTGGCTGTACGCTCTTATGTGGAGAAAGATTTGTGTATCATTGGTAAGGTTAAAGACCCATCATCTTTGAGGATTTTCTTCAGTAATATCACTAGCATTTGGCCAAGTTTCCCTGGAAGAAGTTGCCTGGATTTGTCCTTAAATTAACAATTAATTAAAAAGGAGTAGGCGGAGGGATTTGTGAGATAAGTTTGAGAGTGACTAGGAATACTTAATAATTCATCTTATGTCCAAGAATTGTCTCCGACTTAAAACATGACCTTGATTGCAGAATGAAATGAAATATGCTTGCTGACATATCTTGTTTTTATTTTTTGGCTTACATGTTAGGGAAAAATAGTTCCTGCTAGGGGACCCAATGACTTTGGATGGGATCCTATTTTTCAACCTGATGGCTATGACCAAACGTAAGGCTTTCACTTTTAACTTCTGCATTCTGTATTACGATTCATTATAATCCAGTCAATTAAACTAAATAACAGTAGACTTTTTGTTGATAGAATTATGTCCGGATTCCTATAGATATGCAGAGATGCCGAAGGAAGAGAAGAACAAGATTTCTCACCGTTATAGGGCTCTTGCTATGGTGAAATCCCACTTTGCTGAAGCTGGATACAGTTTTAGTACTCCATCTAAAGAGTGAGCTAAAGATCTTCATTGTTGCCATTGCATGGTAGATTGTCAGACAATTGCAAGCTTTCTCCAGCGTCTTCACTTCTCCGGATTCCTGTAAAAGGTCTGTGGTGAAAAAGCAGGGTAGCGTGGAAGAAGGCTTGTATAGTACTTGCTTTGTTTTAACAGGGAAAACAATAAATATTACAATTTTATACAGATATGTTTGCTTAGTGCCTAGTGGGGAAAAATCTCCCCTACTAAAAATCATTGGGAACCACCGTGCTTTTAACTTCGTTAAAAGGATGTTTCTTATTTGAGTTGTACCAATCGGTATCCTTTAATGTTAAGGCATTCTATATGATTACACAGGAATTACTAAATTAGATACAAGGAAACTACCTATTTCATTTGGCTCATAGATACATTTTAATTTTTGATGAGTCTTAATTTGCAGACAAGTGACCGGTTTATGTTAGGATCTTCAGTTTTTGTGTGAGCTTGGAGACGGACCGATGAAGATTGATGTTTAAAGCCACCCACATCTTCCATTGGTGGTAGACACCAAACGTTGAGTTCAAATCCATGCAGCCTTCTAAAAGTTGCCTTCAAAAGGGTTGGTGTCAAATATTTGTTGCAGGCAACCAGAGATGGTATAGCCTTTAATTTATCTTTAGGGCCGCTTAACGAATTAAAGTCAGTGGGAAAAGGGATTGAAATGGATGTTTCATGCGGCCAGTAGGGGTGTACAGCGGTCGGTTTTGTTGGTTTCGGTTCGATTTTGATCAAAAACAGATCAAAATTTTTTACAATATAACCGATTGAACCGCATATGATGTAATGTTGGTTTCGGTTAGTTTTTTAGAGGCTCGATTTCAGTCAGTTTGATCGATTTTTGAGGATGAGATCAATGAGTTGATTTAGGTTGATTTGGGCTAAAATGGGTTGACTTGGGCTGTGATCCATGGACTAAAATGATTAAAGATTCATGGGCAGCTTTAATTTCAATGTGCTAAAATAGTTAAGGATCTATGAACTAAAATGGTTAACGATACAATGGCATTAATTTCAAATTAATTTTTTTGTTAAATAATTTAATTTTTTTTCGTTTAACATGGGTATTTTTTCTTAATTCAAATAGTTATTTAATAAGCTTTATATAATAAGTAAACATTGGTTTCAAAAGTTTTATAATTAAATATGATCACAAAGAAATTAGCATTAGTCTTCATATAATAAATAAACAAACAAGAGTTTCAGAACTTAAAGCTTAATGACATAAATTACTAAATTTCAAAAATATGAATCTCCAAGGTTCCAACTTCAATTTGTAATGATTTTGCATAACATGCTCTTAAAAATATTAAAAGTAAATATATAATTAGTCTAAATATTTATGGTAAGATAACCTAAAAAAATTATAAATGTAATATAAATATTGCATAATACCTAATGATAACATTATCTGAAAATGTTAGTCTGACTCAGGCTCAGACTCAGCTATTGTCTCCAACGCAATATTAGTCAACTCTAAA